GGTTGTTAAGCTCGAGGTCCTTGAATTTGCAGAAATGCCTGTCTGCTGGTGCAAGCTGGTCTGAATTAAAAGCAAGGTGGTTAATTTCCAAACAAGGACAGAGATCAATGCATCCCCAAATGCCAACATTTTCTTTCCTACGCAGAACCTTTAGGTTTTAGCTTCCTTAAAGGTAAAGGTAAAGGTACCCCTGCCTGTACGGGCCAGTCTTGACAGACTCTAGGGTTGTGCGCTCATCTCACTCTATAGGCCGGGAGCCAGCGCTGTCCGCAGACACTTCCGGGTCACGTGGCCAGCGTGACAAGCTGCATCTGGCGAGCCAGCGCAGCACACAGAACGCCGTTTTCCTTCCCGCTAGTAAGCGGTCCCTATTTATCTACTTGCACCCGGAGGTGCTTTTGAACTGCTAGGTTGGCAGGCGCTGGGACCGAACGACGGGAGCGCACCCCACCGCGGGGATTCGAACCGCCGACCATGCGATCGGCAAGTCCTAGGCGCTGAGGTTTTACCCACAGCGCCACTTAGCTTCCTTAGCTCTGGTCTTTTCTCTGGTCACAGCTTGGATACTTGGCGTCTTCTCTAGGAATAGGGACACTCCCATTGTCAAAGCCAACAACCGGGACCTCACCTACACTCTGCTCCTTGCCCTCTTGCTCTGCTTCCTCTGCTCCTTCCTGTTCATTGGCCAGCCTCACCCAGTCAGCTGCTCTTTACGACAAGCTGCTTTTGGCATCATCTTCTCCATTGCTGTGTCTTGTGTCTTGGCCAAAACCATCACGGTGGTTCTGGCTTTCATGGCCACCAAACCAGGATCCAGGATGAGGAAATGGGTGGGGAAATCTCTCACAAACTCGGTTCTTCTTGGTTGCTGCTCCGTTCAAACCAGCATTTGTGTTGCTTGGCTCTGTACGGCTCCTCCATTCCCAGATGTGGACATGAGCTCTCTGATGGAGGAAATCATTGTGGAATGCAACGAAGGTTCTGTCGTGATATTTTATTCTGTCCTGGGTTATCTGGGATTCCTGGCCATGGTCAGCTTCACTATGGCTTTCCTGGCCAAGAGGTTGCCAGACAGTTTCAACGAAGCCAAGTTCATCACCTTCAGCATGTTGGTGTTCTGCAGCGTTTGGCTGTCCTTTGTTCCCTCTTATCTGAGCACCAAAGGAAAGCAGATGGTGGCTGTGGAGGTCTTTTGCATCTTGGCCTCCAGCGCAGGTTTGCTGGGTTGTATCTTTGCCCCCAAATTATATATAATTATTCTGAGGCCTGAATTGAACAGCAAAGACCACTTCATTCTGAGGAGCAAATAGGAATCAACTTGTGTTGATGGTTTTAATTTTTGCATTGTTTGCTGGCATTAATTGAATGAAAAGCAGAAAAAGGTAATTCCTTGGGACTTCCGGGTTGGTGCCTCTGGCAATGGCGGATTTCCTCCGATCGGGAGGAACCCGCTCCGTGGAAAACAGGGTCTGAACCGCCACGGAGAGGCGGAGACCCCTCAAAACCACAGGCGGGAGAAGCCTGTGGACGTGGGATTCGGCTGGCACCTTTGCTCGTGGGGAAACCCAGTTTTGGGGATCCGGAGCGACGTGGGGTGAGTGGCGCGGTGCTTTGAATCGACTGCTTCTTTCACGGAGTGAAGCCGCATTGCTGTTGCCGGAGAGCGCTGACTTTTTCCTGTGGACAATTGGATTTCAAACAACTGCCCGTGAGTAGAACGGAAAATTGGACTGTGAAATTTCTTAATTAGGCACCGAAAGCAGGAAGGTCTAAACAGGAGGTCCGCCTTCCGCTTTTGTAGATAGATTGAAGCAAAGACACGGCAAGCTATAGTTCAGAAAGTCGTTTGTAAAGGACTAAATTTTCATCATTTAAAATTACTGAACCCCCCTTGGAAGCAGAAGAGGGGGGAACCTTTTTTAGACTGCTTAAACCTGCAGAAGAGAGAGTAAAGAAAGGTAATTTTCCACCGTCTTGAACCTGGGAGCAGGGTGTCAAGACAGACGTTTTGGAGAAGCTCATTGACTATGGACAAACGTCTTTGACAGATAGTTAAAAGAACAGAAACATATTGATTCCATTGTTCCCTTTCGCTTTTAAAAGGAACAAAATATTGACAAAATATCCGTAAAAGGAAAACTTTGTTGCTAAATCTGCCTCTAAAAAAAAAAAGGGGGAAAAAAGATGGATGCAAATAGAAATTGTTTCCCCTAGAGGGAGCTTGTGAAACTGTTATTAAAGTCGAACTGGGGAGTTTTGCAGCTCTAAAAGATTAAGATCGTGGGACCAGACTTCGACCTTGAACACGAATGTGCTCAGAAGCTCTGGTGCTTGCTCTTTGCAAGACAAGTGCTTTATTGGAACAGTTACATGAGAAGATGGATCTGATGACAGTTGCGATAGGAAATTTTGGACAGGCAGTGGGTACCTATATAGAACCCACTCAGGAATTAATCCAGGAATGTGCTTTGACAGATGAGATGAGGGAGGAGGCTGTTGCTGGACCTCGGGTGGCAGAGATGGAGGGAGCTGTGGCCCAGCAGGAACATGAGTCGTTGGATTTTATGAATGAGCCTGGAAAAAGTCAGATTTGGAGAGACAGAGCTCTGCTTGGTTTGGAGATGGGGGTCTGGATGGACCCCCCTATGCAGAGATGTTTTGATTTTTCAAGTCTGGCTTTAGGCCGGGGGAAGTTCAGAGTTGTGGGGGCCCCTAATTTTGGAGGGGCCTTGAAACATGCCTTTAAATACCACATGGATTTCAGTGTTGGCTATGGAAAAGGGGCTGACTTGTTGAGAAGGGACAAAAATATTGTCAAGTTGGAGTCTCCCAGAGTGAAAGGAGCAGAAGACAAAGTAAAGTACAGGTATAAACATGAAGAAGACCTGCGGAAGGGACATGGAAAAGACTTAAGAACCTCGGATATAAGGTCACCAGGTTGATGGACTAGATGGATGGGATAGAAAGGACTGACAAAACCCGAGACCAGGAGAAGAGACAATGGATGAAGATTGGAAGAAAGTTTTAAAAATTTATTTAGGAAAGTATCGCAAAATTAATGAGTATCAGAAAATGTTGGAATGAAATTAATTGGCTTTAGCAGAAATGTTTAAAAGAATTATGTAAGAATATGTTATTGGTTAAAAGAATCCGGTATAAATAAGATTTAAGTTTTAAGGTATTTTATGGTAAGATAAGGTTAAAATAGATTAAGGTAATTTAATGACAGAATATTGTGAAAGATGGAAAGGATTTGCTGAGATAATTAACAACTAGAATACAAAAAAGGGAGGTGTGAGGAGGTCAATGAAATAAGTTAATGAAAGTTAAGGATTTGGGAATATTGGATTTGTTTTTAAATTTGCTGTATATTTTTGTTTTTTGATTGTGTTGCATTGTGTGTGTGTTTTTTTCTTTTTGACTTTGGTTTTTATTGATTTGTATTGTTTAATTGTTACTTTTATCTACTTCTTTCTTTCTTTTTCTCTTTTTCTTATTTTTTTCCTTCTTTTTTTCTTTGTAACTTTAAAATTCTCAATAAATATCATTAAAAAAAAGAAAAGAAAAAAGTAATTCCTTGGATTTCTCAGCACTCATCCTTTTCATCTTTTTCATTCCCAGAAAAAGCCTCCAACCTACATCTGTAACCAATAAAGCTGAGACCCATTTTTGACCCCATAAAGTTGTTCTGGCAATTTGTTATCCTATCAATACACTGATCTTCCATTCATAGGGTGCCAAAGGTATATCCCTTCATGGGGAGAGATCATCAGTGTGAAACATGTCACTTCTGCCAAGGCTTTACTTTCCGTCATCATCCACCTGTAGATACACATGTATGTACACATCCACCTGGCTTCACAATGTGATGTTGCCACATTTCCAAGTGGGGCTTCAAATCATTTGAATGGCATTTATTACCCACTAGTACTCATTTGCCTACAAATGAGACCCATATTCTCTGAGTTTATCTTCTCCATGTAGGACAGATACAAATGGGGAATTAGTAGCTGGATTGTATGTACAGTAGTACCTCTGGTTACAAACTTAATTCATTCCGGAGGTCCGTTCTTAACCTGAAACCGATCTTAACCTGAGGTACCACTTTGGCTAATGGGGCCTCCCGCTGCCGTCGCACAATTTCTGTTCTCATCCTGGGGCAAAATTCTTAACCCGGGGTACTACTTCTGGGTTAGCGGAGTTTGTAACCCGAAGTGTTTGTAACCCGAGGTACCACTGTAATAAATTGGGTCTCCCATGTCCTAGTCAAACACTCTAACCATTACATCTCACTGGCTCTCCACTGAAAAATATTGTCTGTCCATATGGTGTTAGTTAATGTAATGCAATTTTTTGTTGATAAAATGGGTAACGTACTTGATTTAAAGGTTATGCAAAGGGTTTTGTTTGTTTGTTTTATCTCTTTGAAAAATTGGCTGTAAATCATTTATTCTTTTATTATATATTTTCACCTTAAGTAGTTTTCTGGGTAACCTTTTTTCTCTTTTTTGCTGACTCTCCATAAACCCTTATTGCTCTCCCTACTAAGGAAGACCAGCTGAGACTTTGGCTATGATGTGATAAACATGCTCTCCCCCCCCCCCCAAATAAAAATCACTGAGAAGCTGAGAAGTCTCCTGTAATTATCAAAGTAATCACAATCATTTCTTTGAGTCTCTGGGGAATTCCAGTAGCTGCATGAAAACTATGAATCAAGACTTGCAGATACTATTAATATCTCCTGTGATGTTCAGACTTTGGCCTTACACCAAGGGCTCTGTCAGAACTGATCACTGATTCATTTCCCTGAAAAAATCTGGCTTTCACAACCATCCCAGTGAGACTTTGCTGCTCAGTATCACTCAGATGAAAATGTGCAAAGAGATGAATTGTCCCCTAAAAAATTCCCTGCAACATGGTAATATTTGCAATCTTGGTATTTGTGCTGCTGCCTCAGACTGTGTGCAAGTTTCCTCTTGCGCCTACAATACTCTGTGCAGGTTGGTACTTTCCATGATCTTGGCATCAGTGCTGCTTCCTCCAGATGAGTGCAAGGCTGCTGTTGCTCCCTGTTCCATCCGTGACCCTCTTCCTATTCTTCACAAATATTTCCAGTCTGGAGATGTTGTTATTGGTGGCATTATGTGTCAAAGCCATATAACTTCAAGCATAGCCTTCAATGAACCTCCTACACCTGAACTCTTCGATGACATTATGTAAGGAAGTGTGTGTGTGTGTGTGTGTGTGTGTGTGTGTGTGTGTTTTAAAAACTGTATTGTATATCTGGAATGAATATTTTTCTGCATTTGACATATGATGAAGGTGATGCTCATTACACTAGTGGTCAAAATTGTGGAAAACTTTAGGGAAAGCTGTATTTCTAAGTTTTGACAGCTCATAAGAAAAGTATAAAATTAGAATGAACTTCTACAGTATATCATTAGAAAGGTAATCTAATGCAGAATATAATGCCACAAACTGTGTTGAATAGCCCTGACCTGAATCCAGGTCTGTGGAGCTGATTAAATAAACTTTTTACTCAGAAGCAACCAAGGAATAAAGCACATATTTTATATAACAGTCATACAATCTTGGTTTCACATTAAAACGCCTGGTGAATTAAAATCTTTGCTTTACTCCATGGGCTGTCATTGCAGAGCTGCAATTGCAGCAAAAAGTTTCTACACTAACATAAATGGTGAAAAGTTATGAAATACCCTTTATCATGGTTTTGTGTGCATAACTTCTTTTATTTGGCTATTTGCTTCCTTTGGTATCACTCGTAGCTGAGTAAGATTGTCTTCCATGAAGACAGTCTTAACAGTGAATCTGTATGTGACTGTGGAATTCAATTCTGTATTCTCATGGCCTTCCACAGTGAGGACATAGATTTCCGGACGTTGATCACGGTGAGGGTTTGCTAAACATGCCTTCCTCTTAGCGTGTTTCTCAATTTCGTCCTGAGTTCGAGTGTCTTCAAGGTCCATGGCACCTTTCTTAAAAGCTGTTCTCCAATTGGAGCACCAGCATTACGCTTTCCATTCTTGAGTTTGGAATAGAGTTGTTGCTTCGGAAGACAATAGTCAGGCATCCAAACAACATGACCAGTCCAATGAAGTTGATGTTGAAGAATCATTGCTTCAACACTGGTGATCTTTGCTTCTTCCTGTACATTGGCATTAGTTTGTGTGTCTTCCCAAGTGATGTGTAAAAATTTTGAGAGACACCCTTGAGGGAATCTTTTGAGGAGTTGAAGATGGCGTTTATAATTGGTCCATGTTTCACAAGCATACAGTAAGGTTGGTAGTACGATAGCTTTGTAAACAAGCATTTTGGTTTCCTGCAAATGTTCCAGTCCTCAAACACAATGCAGGAGAAAGCGCACTTGCAAAGTCACAAGCGATGCTTGATTTTGGCATCAATGTCGGCCTTTGAGGAAAGATAACTGCCCAGGTAGGAGAAGTTATCAACACTTTCCAACGTTACACCATTGAGTTGGATTTGTGGCACTGCATAAGGGTTGTTTTGTGCTTTTTGGTGCAGCACTTTGGTTTTTGGGATCTTGAGCGATAGGCCAAGCTTTTCATAATCTTCTACAAAGACATATACTTTCCAAAATGTTTTCACAATATTGGCCACTAGTGTATGATGAATACTACCACCCTCCCCCCCCCATGTAATTCTGAGACTTGGGGGCAAATCTCATCATTCAAACTCACTTCTGCAGTGTGTGATAACCTTCTTCTTCTTATATGGTAGGCTTATACCAGTGTTCAGTGTTCAGTGTTCAGTCTCTCTCCATACAGACCAATGACACAACTCTACCAGCATATCCTGGCTTTGGCATTTGCTGTAAAAGAGATAAATGAAAATCCCCAAATCTTGCCCAATATGTCTCTGGGTTTCCACATCTATAACAGCCATTTCAGTGCAAGCTGGACCTACCTAGCCTCCATGGAACTTCTCTCTAGCCAAGAAAGACTCCTCCCCAACTACAAGTGTGATGTTCAGGAGACTCCAAAGGCTGTGATTGGGGGCCCAAGACCTAATTCATGTCTCCACATGTCAACCATCCTGTCTACGTACAAAATGCCAAGAGTAAGAGGTCTGCATGGAACATGTGTCATCAATGAAAGCCATTTATATTTGTCTCTGACTAGTCTCATTGGGTTGCATGCTGGTAATTGAATGGCAAATAATGGGTATAGGTTGGTATTTTTCAACCAAAAATGCAGGTTGTGGAAAATATGTCTGCTTCAGTTCCACACCTCCTGAAAAACTCAGGTGGAAGAATTCCTCATTGGACACTTTACTCCTGTGCAGGACTGTAACAAAACGTCTGCTGCCTGTGGTAGCACAACTGGTGTTTGCTATGCCTGCTGAAAGATCACTTATATATTTCCCAAGATAACTTTAACATTCCAAATCAACAGAAATAAGTGATATTGGAATCCTTCTGAAGCAGATTCCCCTCTGTAAAACTCTGTAACCACCACGGGTTATCTAACGGTTTTTGTGAGAGGTAAAGGTTAACTTCAGGCAGAAGTTGAACAAATAAGGAAGATTTATTTTGCAGAATAAAGTTGGTAAGACAAAAGATGTATCAGGAGATAAAGTTCTTTCAGGAAACAGTTAACTTATTAATATTCAATTTAGTGTATGTTACAGGCTTCAAAACAAGGTAGTGAACTTAGAGCTTATTTAAAATGGCGTTTGCTTATTTTCAGCTTGGTGTTACAATTGGTAAACAATCAGCTCATTTCCATTTTTCATTACTTCAGTTTCTTAAACCTCATTGAATAGGTGGTGCAGCTTCAGTTTCAGTTCTTATACAAGATAGTATTTCTGTCCGTTTGCCCACCTTCTATCAATCCCACCCCTGAGCTTCTCCAAATAGCACAACAGCCCCAGGGGATCACCCAGCCCTCTTAACGGGTTTGGGTGTCTTCTCTTTCTGGGAGATCTCTCCCCTCCTGACTGGAAGGAGACCCAAGCAGACAGGATCCTGCAGTGGTGCCATCTTCTTAAGAGGAATGAGGGGGCCCATGTGCAATGTGGCATGACGGCATGTCTTAATGCACATGATGTCACACAACATCCTGACGTCATGCGTGTGATGCCATGAGGATCTGGATGCCCCTTGAATATTGGTGTGAATGAAACTGCCTCAGCCCCTAGGAGTGGTGTGAATGTTGGAAATCACAACATTATGATAATGAGAAGGATGCCCAATATTGCAGAAACAGATGATGCACCAATACAAACCAAGGCAAAAGTTTGGAATGGAACAGTCCAGGTGGATTTCATATCATAACCTATGCAAAGGTTGTGGGAAATAGCTTTCCTCCGTGGTTCTCTATTCTTTGCAGTTAACTCAAGGAATCTTTATTAGGATTCTTTTCTGATGAGAAAGCTTTATCAGAGTTTTCTGTGAACAAGCATTTATTTACCTGTTCTTTCCTGTATCCTCTTTTAGATACAGCAAATTCTGCCATAAACATAACTGCAAAATTCTTCTATTTGATGGAAAGACATTTCTGTTCCCCAAACAGTAGATTCTAAAGTATCAGAAATAAACAAAAAGCTAAATTAATATGTTGAAACTTGGTTTTGAGTCTAACTGGTGTTTTGAGATCATCATTTGTTATCACCTTTCCTCCCTTGATTTTAACAATGACCCTATTTAGCTCATCTATGGCTCTTCTCCTGTGACGAATGATGACATTCAAGCCATTTTCACCCACTGGATATTCCCAGATGGGACTCAGCAATATGAGGGAATCCTCCAGTTACTGCTGCATTTCCGTTGGGTGTGGATCGGTGTGCTTTTTGTCCATGGTGACTCTGGAGAGAGATTTGTACAAAATGTTCTCCCTATGTTTGCCCAAAACGGTATTTGCTTTGATTTTATAGAAAATTTCCCTAGGCTTACCTCTTCTGGTGAGTTTGATGAAATGGTGGAAGAAGGTTCAAAAACAATGAACATTTTTGTGGGAAGCACTGCCAATGTTGTAGTTGTGCATGGTGAAATTCAAACAATTATGATAATGAGAACAATACCCAGACTTGCAGAAACGAATGATGTGCCAATGCAAGGAAATACAAAAGTCTGGATTATGACAGCCCAGATGGACTTCACCTCATTTCCCTTTCAAAGAGGTTGGGACATCACATTCCTCCACGGGGCTCTATCCTTTGCAGTTCACTCTAAGGATCTTCCAGGATTCCAGAAATTTATTCAGATGAGAAAGCCTACCTTGGAAAAAGAAGATGGCTTTCTCAGGGTTTTCTGGGAAGAGGCATTTAATTGTGGTTTCCCTGACCCTGCTTCAGAGAAGAAAGATGGCAAATTCTGCACTGGGGAGGAGAATATTGAGAGCCTTCCTGGGTCTGTTTTGAAACGAGCATGACAGCCCACAGCTACAGCATCTACAATGCAATCTATATTTTGGCACATGCTTTGCACACCATGCAGTCCACCAAATTAAATTGCAGAGCAATGGCAGGTGGAGCGAGAGGGAAACTTACAGATCTTCAGCCATGGCAGGTAATGTTGTCTTCCAGTTAATACAGATGTCTGTAATCAACTCTGGAGCTGAGCTAAAAGGGGGACTTTTCTTGAATACCTCTGTCAGTAGGGGAAACTCGTTTCTCTTTCCTATCAGGGAGGAAGTGGCTATCCATTTAATGGTTAGGATAACATAATGGATGAAATGCTGCCATCACTTTAAAGTGGGTTCACTTGTCCTTGGAATAGCAAAATATGGCTATAGATGGCTAGGTACACAATATCATGTCTGGAAAGTGATGAGCAGCTTATCTACATAGCTTCTCCACCTATCTAAAGGAACATCCTGTCTAATATTTGTGGTATAAGTTCTATGAAATGTAGGCCACTTCTTCCTCTTCTTCTTCTTCTTCTTCTTCTTCTTCTTCTTCTTCTTCTTCTTCTTCTTTGCTTTATTCAACTTAGTAAAACGCAACACCAAATCAAAATTCACCATATATGAACCACAACAAGAAAGTTTTAATACTTGTTATGATAACATAGTCTTCAAAATCTTCCACCAGACTGATCGACTTCCCGTCTACTCCAAATGCCTTTATTTCTTCATTTACTTAGTGCACTAGCTATCTCAGTTTTCGATATTAGCTTGGCATTAATATTATACTTCTTTACGCTAAATCATTTCAGTACAGAAGTTATTCGAGGGCTGCCA